TCTAAACTGTGAACTGGTATGAACTTAATTATGAATATGAGGTTGCTTCAGTAGTCCAGCATAAGTTTTTTGAGCTAGGCAATTTTTTGACCTGCATGTAGCCATGGAGAATGATGAATTTCTACTGCAAACTGCATTAGAATTCTACCGAATCGTGATTTTATTCTATTCCTTTATGTAGAAGCACCATTTTGTTGATTGCACATTTATTAGTAGTAAATTGCACACTTCAACTACTGCAATTATGGTGTGTAATATGTGCAATATCTGGTCTTTATAAATAACTTTGTCACTATTTTAGTTAACTTAGAGCATGCAATTGTTCTTGCTTTAGGGCATCGATATTCTTCTGTATGGGCTATTTGGGACTGGAAATGGGTCTTCTGTTTCAGTGTAAGCATCAGACACTATATTTTTATGGAGTGCATATAATTTCTATTTTAATACAACTCTTCTCTTTAAGGAATAGATCTTTCGGCTTGATATGACAATTGTTTCCTTAACTACAGTGAAAATGCTGAAGGGTAGCTAAAGGGTAGTGCATATATCAGATGGTTTCATGATATTCTTCTCTATTCTGGGTAAGTTTACTTGTCATGGGATTAGTATTTGATTCTTTACCAGATCTTTGAGATAATAGATTTTAAGCCTAACATGTATGATGGAACTTCAAAATTGGCCTTGTCTTTTCATAGATTTGTGCCAGCTCACACCTTATTTTTGTCCTTGTCTTTTCATATAAAAAAATTGTTCGTTGTGATTTTGTGCTAACATATATTGAACTTTGTTAATTGTGATTTGTGCTAGCACACACATCTTATTTGTCCTTATCCTTTCATAAAAAAATTGTCACTTGTGATTTGTGCTAACACTTCTTGAATTCTGTTGATTGTGATTTGTGCTAGCACACATCTGTTATTTGTCCTTGTCCTTTCATAAAAAAATTGTCCTCTTATGATTTGTGCTAACACATCTTAAACTTTGTTAATTATGATTTGTGCCAACACACACCTCTTATTTGCCCTTGTTCTTTCATAGAAAAAAATTATCTCTTGTGATTTGTGCTAACACATCTTGAACTTTGTTAATTGTGATTTGTGCCAACACACACCATTTGTCCTTGTCCTTTCATAGAAAAAAAATTCTCTCTTATGATTTGTGCTAACACATCTTGAAATCTGTTAACATGTTACATAACTGAACCCTTGATCTGTTAGACCTTTTATTATAGAGAAGAGGCAGTCTGCAGCTAACCGGATCAGAGAGAAGTACCTTGATAGAATTTCAGTAAACTTCTACCCTCCTATATGCATTGTTTTTTGTTTGTGTTGATTTACTCAAAATCCTAAAATCTTCTCTGTCAGTGCGTCCGATCTGCAGCTTGGTCGCGCTCTGCTGCTGCTGCTGCATGCTCCCGGGCATGTGAATAGACTGTTATAGATGCTCTAAACATATAGTATCTCCTCGGGCCTATCCACTAATGGATTAGTGATGTTTATTGTTCTTGTCCATAATAGTCGCAGTGCTCTGTTCCTATTAATCAGTTCTATTCACGAAAAAACAAATAAAACATTCAATTACTTAATAATTGCAACCAGCAATGCTGTAAATTGCAATTATTGAGCACTGCAATTTTAGTGTTGAGGATATGCAATATGTCCCTTTTTACTTTCAGGGGTTGACTATTAGTAAGAAAATAATTCTTCCACAAGAATCCTTCCAACTTTTTGATCTGGGTTTTGTGTAGTGGGTTGTACATGGTATAGTTGAACTGAGTGGTTTGGGATTCATAGTTTGTCTGATTTCCACATTTTCTACAATTGTGTAATGTCTTACTGGGCCAAAACTTTTTCTTTGTTTATTGTGATTTGTGCTAGCCCACATCATAGTTAAATTAGTAATAATACTAGTACTTTTCTAATAGCCAGAGGCAAATCATTTCTCCCTTTCAATACTGAAGCTGCACTTGCACGGCAATGCTCAGTATTTAGCTCTTCAAAGTTGATAGCAGAGGCAGAAGTTTCCTTCAGTATTGCTATTGCTGTGTCGTTTAAGTTCTGTAGCCGTATGTAAAGCTAACCTGCGCTTTACATATAGTTTACTACCATGTTTCATTTATCCATTTCTTGATTGCACATTTATAAGTAGTAAATTGCACACTTAAATTACTGTAATTATGGTGTTTAACATGTGCAATATCCGGTCTTTATATGTAACTTTCTCACTATTTTGTTTTCCTTTTTACATTTCATTAAGCAGGAAAAACATATGTTCAGAAAACCACTATATATAAAGGAGATTACAGCTTCATTTTCTCCTAATTGAACTCTTTCCTCTCCCTAATTCAAGCCTTCCTGATTTGATCCCTTGATCCTTTCCCTCCTAATCAGCCCCTACGACAGCGCCTATAGTTATTACCAACCATAACATCTCTCCCCTCCTCTGGAAAGAGCTCGTCCTCGATCAAGGGTTTAATTTGTGCCTATGATATTTTCTATAATATTATATTGCTTCCAGATTATAATTCTGTTAATTATGATTTGTGCCGGCACACCACTTTTTGTCCTTGTCCTTTCATAGTTTTTTTTGTGATTTGTGGCAACACATCTTAGATATTTGTCTCTGTCCTTCTATAGAAAAAATTGTCTCTTGTGATTTGTGCTAACTCACATTTTCCTTTTGTTTATTGTGGTTTGTGCTTGCCCAGGGCAAGTTTTTGTCTCTGTCGTGTGGATGCTTGGGTGACGCGGTCTGTTGATGCCCACTTGATTGTACTGGGAGAATGGTTGGGTTATGTGTTCCTCCTATGATGATTGAGTGCCAAGTGAAAATGAGGGTCTCAGGCTGTTTAGAATTCATATTGCTAGTCTATAAGTCTAGATACCTTGAGATTGGTCTGGTTGATTTTCTTTATCGTGCTAAGGAAATAGTGAATTCTGATAAGGCCTGATGGTTATACAATTACAGATTGCAGTTGATAAGTTAATTCATGTGTGACATATATGTCAGCCCCCCCTCTCTTTCCTGGTTTCTTTGCATTGTATTCTGTTCTAGAAAGATTGTCAGAAAAAGGAAATTTTCTGCATTTTACTGTTGAACCCTTTCAAAATCCAAGTGACCACATGGGGGGTTTATGCAGAACTCTCCTTTGGGTTTGTTCCATTTTGTGCCTTTTTGTCATATCTACCAAGTGCTGACTAATAGGCGCATTCTACCATAGTCTCATAGCCATAGGCATAGTGCGGTTAACATAATAACAAATTGATAATGGCTGTGGCATTTGTCAAGTGCATATATGAGGTGAAAAGTTCATAGATGCTGGATTGTTCCCTTTTACGCTCTCATATCCTTTTTTAAACTGTTAGAAATATCTTCATGAATCATTACGTGTGGCATAATTTCTGTTCTTTAGGTACACAGGGTGAATGTTAAAATTATGACAAACAAATGCTCTTGTTTTATTATGGCAAATTAATAGCTTCTAAGCACATTTCATGTTACAATTATACTGTGTCGAAAGGGTGTTGCTTGCAGAACTGAATTGCAGTTCTAGAAACTACTAATTGATGCATTTTTTTCTGCAATTTGTGCTTGCTTGAACAATAGGTTGCAATTTCTGCAATTTGGTTCTGTATGCATGGATCAATCTGATTGATATTTACCTTTTTTTGTCCCTATTATGCACAAATAGAAAGTAGGAACCAATAACCTGCTGAATTCCAGCTTTACAATGATCAAATGAGCATTTCTTACTATTAAGAATGCTTGCTTTTTATATAAATTATTGCCAAACTGTCTATAATCTGAATGTGCTTTTAATTGTTGTTATCCCCAAATAATGCAGTATACACCGGCTATTGACATTTGGAGCATTGGATGCATATTTGCTGAGGTGTTGACTGGGAAGCCTTTATTTCCTAGTAAAAATGTTGTTCATCAGCTAGATTTGATTGACTGATCTTCTAGGCACACCGTCAATGGATAAAATTTCTCGGGTATAGTGCTATAACCAAGGAAACTCTATTTTTATTTCGTCTCATGGCTCAGTGACTCCAAAGTTGAACTTGTTTTTTATTCATTTTCAGGTTCAGAATGAGAAAGCAAGAAGGTACTTGAGCAGCATGAGAAAAGGACCCTGTTCCATTTTCTCATAAGTTTCCCAGTGCGGATCCTTTGGGACTTAAACTATTAGAAAAGCTATTAGCGTTTGATCCAAAGGACCGTCCAACAATAGAAGAAGTAGTCCTTTGCTGTTGTCTCAAGTAGAAGGTACGTTCTCTATGCAACACACTCTTTGAGAAAACTGGTGTGATGCTATCTGATCTACTCTTTGCTGATATTGGGCCTCTCTGTCTTAGTTAGTGGGCCTCTCTGACATGTCTTTATTAGGCTGAACGATAGTTGTGGGCCTTGTTTGCCTGATGGAATTTGTGTGTTGCATTCTCTTAAAACACACGTTTTTTTCTAGTGTTTCAATTCGTGTGTTTATTAGACATCTAACAACCATGTGCTAACTAGTTCAAAAACACATGGTTTTTTCTATGTTGAAACATGTGTGTTTTACATACAGCCAACAACCATGTGTTGGCTCATGTAAAAACACACGTGTGTACAGTAGACCGACTCTTTCAAAATAAACCCTCCGACGACTGTAGCGTCGCATTCGTGGTCTGCGATGGTTATTACGGAGTACCCAGCACCAGCAGGGCCATACATCGATGCCATGCCATGCAACTGGACCGGAGACCGGGCCTGACACCTGTATGCATCGCAGGGGTCATCCGGCCGTAGCAACCAGCAGAGCCACACCACAGCACGGGGCAATTAATTCATTGCCATCGTTCCTTTGCACCGCTGATCGCGATCCACGCACCGCCGCACCTACTACAGCCTTGGCTAGATCTCTCACTGTATATATAATTACTATATCTAGCAAGTATCGGCCGCGCGCGATCAATCAACGTGCTAGCAATAGCTTGCATTGACCGTCGATCATCGCCATGGACTCGACCTCGACGACGACGGCGACGCCGACAGCGACCACGCCGCTGCTGCAGCCGGCACCGCACGGCGGCGGGGGCAGCCGCGAGCTGGAGGCGATCCTGGCGGACGCGTCCTTGCCGTGGGCGCGGCGGGCCTTGCGAGGCGCCGCCGTGGAGCTGCCGCTGCTGCTCCGGATCGCGCTGCCGGCGGTGGCCGTGTACATGATCAACTATGTCATGTCCATGTCCACGCAGATCTTCTGCGGCCAGCTCGGCAACCTCGAGCTCGCCGCCGTCTCGCTGGGCAACACCGGCATCCAGGTCTTTGCCTACGGCCTCATGCTCGGGATGGGCAGCGCGGTGGAGACGCTGTGCGGGCAGGCGTACGGCGCAAACAAGCCGGGCATGCTGGGCGTGTACCTGCAGCGGTCGATGGTGCTGCTGACGGCCACCGGCGTGCCGCTCGCCGTGGCTTACGCCTTCTCGGAGCGCATCCTGGTCCTCCTTGGCGAGTCGGAGAGCATCGCCCGCGCCGCCGCCGTGTTCGTCTACGGGCTCATCCCGCAGATCTTCGCGTACGCGGCCAACTTCCCGATCCAGAAGTTCCTGCAGGCGCAGAGCATCGTGGCGCCCAGCGCCTACATCTCGGTGGCCACGCTGGCGCTGCACCTGGCGCTCAGCTGGCTCGCCGTGGACCGCCTCGGGATGGGCCTCCTCGGCGGCGCGCTCGTGCTCAGCCTCAGCTGGTGGATCATCGTGCTGGCGCAGTTCGGGTACATCGTCAGCAGCCCCAGGTGCAGGGAGACGTGGAAGGGGTTCACCGCTCAGGCGTTCCGCGGCCTCGGCGGCTTCTTCAAGCTCTCGGCGGCGTCCGCCGTGATGCTGTGCTTGGAGACGTGGTACTTCCAGATCCTCGTGCTCATCGCCGGCCTGCTAAAAAACCCCGAGCTCTCCCTCGACTCCCTCTCCATATGCATGACCGTCAACGGATGGGTGTTCATGATCTCCGTGGGCTTCAACGCCGCCGCCAGCGTGCGGGTCAGCAACGAGCTCGGCGCGGGCAACCCGAGGGCGGCGGCCTTCTCGGTGCTGGTGGTCACGTCGCTGTCGCTGGCCGTGGCGGCGGTGTGCGCCGTCGTCGTGCTCTGCGTCCGCGACCAGCTGAGCTACTTCTTCACGGGCGGCGAGGCGGTGGCGCGCGCGGTGTCCGACCTCTGCCCGCTGCTCGCCGTCACGCTCGTCCTCAACGGCGTCCAGCCCGTGCTCTCCGGCGTCGCCGTGGGATGCGGCTGGCAGGCCTTCGTGGCGTACGTCAACGTGGGCTGTTACTACATCATCGGCGTGCCGCTCGGTGTCTTCCTCGGCTTCTACCTCGACCTCGGCGCCAAGGTACGGAGTATTACGCATTTCTGATTTTATGAACGGCAAAGCTTAAGCTCAGGAGAGCGATCGAGACGCTAGTACTAGTAAATTGCTTTGCTACAGACTCCGAGCCCAATGTGATCAGATCAGATCGATTTTTTTTTCAATTTATATATAAAAAATTGCATGCATGCATGCAGGGCGTTTGGAGCGGCATGGTGATCGGGGGAACCATGATGCAGACCCTCATCTTGCTCTGGGTCACCTGCAGAACCGACTGGAACAAGGAGGTGATCCATCCATGCCCTGCCATATTACTGCCATGCAGCATGCATTATTACTCATGTTGGTCACTCACAGCATGCATGCATGTGTTCTGATGACTGAACTGCAGGTGGAGAAAGCCAGGGTAAGGCTGGACAAGTGGGAGGATAAGAAGCAGCCTCTCCTAGAAGACTGAAGAGATTCATAAGCTTACTCCGTGGATAAAAATCTGCCATCATCATTTAGAACAAGACTAGAGAAAGAGCGCACGCTAGCTCAGTGATTTTTGTTGGAATCGTGAGATCGATCGTGAGACGAGAGGAGTAAGATGTCGCGCGAAGCCAAATAAAAGGAGGTGCTTCGTGTTTATCATCAGCTGTTTTGCATCATTTTTGGGGTCTTTATTATTGGTATGTCTTCGAGATAAACATCTTTTGTTCAAGGATGAACCAAGAGGCAAGAAGAAATGAATCAAGTACAACCAGCGGCGGATCCAGAAAAAAATTTAGGGGGGGCTGAACAACACATGCCTCCGACTGCTGCTCGATCTTAAGTCTCTACATTATAGAACACTATAGAACTTTGCTTAAAAATTCATGAGGGCTATAGGGGGTTCCACTGCTCCGGTTTGGGTAGGGGGGCTTGAGCCCCCCCCCCGCCCCACCGTTGGATCCGCCCCTGAGTACAACGATTATTGCTACCAAGAAAAAAAAACAATCTGTGATACACATTCACTACCCCACAACGTGCAACCACTGACAGTTCCAAACCGGTTTTCTCGGCCAAATTTTGAACCACCATTAGGTATCCGGTAGTGTTTGCATTGTCATTTTACTACTGGCTCATCATCTGGCAGTATCGTCCATTTCTACAAAACAAGGAAAAAAAGAAAAAAAATACCTAGGGATTGGGCTTGCAACCCGTGTAGGGATGCCCGTAACGCTCGGTCGCTCGCCCTTGCACTGTGGAGGAGGAGAGCACTGGGGAGGAGGAGATCTGGTGAGGGAGAAAGGGAGGAGGGAAGGGCGGGGGAGAGGAGATTCTGTGAGAGGAGGGAGATTTGCTGGGCACCATGCTCTCATCAGCTCAAAGTTCCTTTAGGACCCGCTTCTCGCAGGTAGGGAAGTCTAGCGGGGGAAGAGTCGAGGATGTTGTCATTAGTGCAGCAGAAACAAGGACTGAGGCCACAAAACAAGTTGATGAAGAGTTGTGAGTTGAGAGTGGGGTGACCGACATTGTGTGCAGCGTGTCGTTGACAACCTTCATCTTCTGGAAGTTGAGAGCAGGGTGACCGACATTGTGCAACGCGTCGTTGACAACCTTCATCTTCTGGAAGTACTTGTCGCCCCCCTGAGTCGGAATTCATGACTCATAAGAAGACAGGCGAATGGCCTTGTTCGCCTGGAAGAGAGCCTTGGCGGCAACCCAGAGCTTGCGTGCAATCGGTTTGATTAGGCTGAGGATGTTGTCTGTGCTGGAGTCGAGGAGCAAACTATATGAATCCAAGAGTCAGTGATGTCCCACTATGGATGTCAGGTAGTGCGGCCACTATGCTATCGGTATGCGAAAGTGTAACACCCCACATCAAAAAATTGCTTTTATGGCTCAGATCTGCACGTGGAACGGGCCTGCATATGCGTAGCACCTCTTTTATACTTTCCTAATTGTTTCGTGTAAAAGGGTTAACCCAGAGGTGCTATGTTTGGAATGACAAGGATTATAAGCTGGTCCTCACCCTCCTAAACTTCCAAGGTGGTATTAAACTCACCAACTACAATCACACATGTGGCACAAGAGTCACTTGGGCTAACTTCTCAACTACTATAGGCTACTAGTGGGCTAGGGTGTTACATTCACCCCGCCTTAAGGTGTTACAATCACAATTTGATGCTCTGGTACCATCCGCAACACCCCATGTCCAAAATTTTCTTATATGGCCTAGCTGAAAGGTCCTAATGGCTAGAGCGGGGGTGAATAGCCTATAAAAATTTCTACAACAACACTTAATCAAAGTGGTTAGTCAAATAGACGGTGAAGCGAGTGTTGCGCTAGCCTACTAAAAATACAAGCCACCTACCATAATTCTAGTTGCTATAGTCTCTATCCACACAATGGCTATGTCACTACACTAAGTTAGTGAGCTCTCAAAGACTAACTAAAGAGCCTCACTAACCACTAGTCTCGACGCAAGCTAGCTCTCAAAACTAATTACACTAAATAGCTTATCTTACACACTAGGAATGTAATACAAGAGAGAATGGCGATGATTATACCGACGTGTCGAGGTATGAGCCAATCACAAGATGGAGCCGATCAATCAATCACAAGATAACCAATGAAATCCTTGGAATTAAATGATGACACAATGATTTTTTACCGAGGTTCACTTACTTGCCAGCAAGCTAGTCCACGTTGTGGCGATTCACTCACTTGGAGGTTCACACGCTAATTGGCATCATACGCCAAATCCTCAATAGGGTGCCGCACAACTAACCCAAGATGAGGATCACACAAGCCACGAGTAATCCACTAGAGTACCTTTTGGCTCTCCGTCGGAGAAAGATCAAGAACCCCTCACAATCACCACGATCTGAGCCAGAGACAATCACCAACCTCCGCTCGACGATCCTCGCTGCTCTAAGCCGTCTAGGTGGCGGCAGCCACCAAGAGTAACAAGCGAATTCCACAGCGAAACACGAACATCAAGTGCCTCTAGATGCAATCACTCAAGCAATGCACTTGGATTCTTTCTCTCAATCTCACAAAGATGATGAATTAATGATGGAGATGAGTGGAAGGGCTTTGGCTAAGCTTACAAGGTTGCTATGCCAATGCAAATGGCCAAGAGGGTGAGCTTGAGCCGGCCATGGGGCTTAAATAGATAGCCCCCACGAATAGAGCCGTTGTGCCTCTCATTGGACACTACGTGTCGACCGGACGCACCTCTACATAACGACCGAACGTAGCACAGTAGCGTCCGGTCGCCGCGATGTTGCCATGTGTCATCCTCGTTCAATGTCGCTCGTTCGATTCCAACGGCTAGTCTCGCCAACGCGCTAAGTTGAGATCGGACGCACCAGTCGCGAGACCGGATGCGCCGATCAACGGCAGTGCTCTCGCGCGCGTGCCACGGTAGAGACACGACCGGACGCACTGCTTCCTCCGGCAACCCAGCGTCAGGTCACTTCTAGAGAGCTCCTCGAGCGCCAAAACGATGATCGGACGTGTCCGATCAGGACTGACCAGACGCGCCCATCGTCAGGTCCTCACTGTGCTTCGCTCAGTCACTGGCATCAGCGTACGTCATGTATGACCGGACGCGCCTTCGTCGCGTCAGGTCACCACTTGCTCCATCGTTTGGTCCAAGACCGACAGCGCACCTTCTCTTCACAATATTGACAGGACGCACGGCCCGAGTCCGGTCGCTGCGTCCGGTCGAGGGAAAACAGCCCCTCAACTTCACCAACTTCATCACCCTTGCTCAAATGTGCCAACCACCAAGTGTATCACCTTGTGCACGTGTGTTAGCATATTTTCACAAACATTTTCAAGGGTGTTAGCACTCCACTAGATCCTAAATGCATATGCAAAGAGTTAGAGCATCTAGTGGCACTTTGATAACCTCATTTTGATACGTGTTTCACCCCTCTTAATAGTACGGCTATCAGTTCTAAATGTGATCACACTCTCTAAGTGTCTCGATCACTAAACCAAAAAGCTCCTATCAAGTTTTACCTTTGCTTCGAGCTTTTTGTTTTTCTCTTTCTTCTTTTCTAAGTCCAAGCACTTGATCACCACGGTCACCACACCATCATCATGATCTTCACCATTGCTCCATCACTTGGAATAGTGCTACCTATCTCATGATCACTTTGATAAACTAGGCTAGCACTTAGGGTTTCATCAATTCACCAAACCAAACTAGATCCTTCACTAGCTCTGCATGTGGAACCCATACCTGCATACGCGTAGCATCTCTCTTACACTTTTGTCCCCGCTTCATGTAAAAGGGTTAACCTAGAAGTGCTATGTTTGGAATGACAAGGATTATAAACTAGCCCTCACCCTCCTAACTTCTGAGATGGTACTCAATATACAAACTGCAACCACATATGTGCCACAAGGGCCAACCTCACAACAATATGGGTGTCGCCGAGCTCATCTAGGGTCAGGTCCCTAAAGAAGCTAACGGCGAGTTGGTACGATGTGTCTCCTTGTTGGAGGAGAAAAGCACGGTGCACGTTCTACTTGAAAACATGGAAGCGCTGCTTGTCGATGCCATCGTGCCCCACCATCAAGGCATGGTTGCTATAGTGCGCTACCTAGCCAGCACTCATACAACGACCACAACGCCTCCTCAGTAGTGGTGTCATTGTCAGGGAAGGGCATCACCATGATCACTGGCATGAGCGCCATGGCCAAGCCCATTCCAATGTTGCTAGGCTAGGCACGGGGCGATGACTTAGCATTGTAGCTAGTTCTTGGTTGAGCACAGAGGCATGGATGGGGTGAGCATGTGATGAGCATGGGGCGAGGTGCAACAAGTAGTGGGATGAGCAATGGCCGGATGGGGGGGCTTGAGCCCCCCTACTTTGACAACTCACACCATGGGGTAATCGCCCTCAAGCCTCCCTATCGTGACAACTCTCACCATTGAGGAATCGCTGGTAGCATTACATGCGGGGAAACAGCAACACAAATCTTGATAAGCTCGCTCGTGTTCTTGCCAACAGCGCGGTAGGTTGTACAAAGCAGGGCGGGATGTCATGCAGTCTGACTACATAGACTACATCACTATTGCTTTTCAAGATTCATCGCAGATCTGCATAGGATACAGAGCTGCTATCTTCTTCTACGACCAATGCATCATACAATTTTCAAATCAAAAGTTGAACCCCTCCTCCAATAGCATGAATGGTCTCTACAATTTATACAAGTTCCTATATGACCATGGTTTTCAAAAATGCCATTTTTGAGTTTGTTAGCTCCATAGCTGAATATGCAACTACAGCCTCAAGCAAGTTAGGCACCGGAGGAAATCCATACTATTTTCCAGAGTGGACTTGGTTCTTTAAATATATATAAAGTAAATCTGGACTATTTGTCTGGGTGGACTTGGTTCTTTAAATAAACAAACACATGAGGAGATTTGACAATTTGGGAACCCAGAGATATATACCTGAGTTGATATATACT